CAGAAGGACATTGGAAGCACAGCAAAAGTGCCGCAGACAGTAGGAAAGGAGTGCAGGGATCCCCGAGCGGAGGAAAGACTGCAAAAGAGGGTTTTAATATTCCTACAATCATTGTTGGCGTGGCTCACAGAAACTTCTACAAGCCCTTGGAATTATTTCCCCAAAACATATTGTGTCTTACAAACCCTTTCCACTTTTATTTTCAGAAATGAGGGCTTTTAACTTACCCTAAAAGGAAATTTCGCTCTTTTTTATTTAACTAGACATAATATAGTTTAAAAATATTTCGCCATGGCTGGCGGTATAACTCAGGGGTAGAGTGCATTCTCGCCACAAGGGAGGCCCTGACCTCAATTCCCAGCATCTAAAAAATAAAGTCAGGACAATTCTACTTCTTAACCTTGACTGGAACTCATCCATAGTTTCCTCCACTGTCTAGATTGACAGAGCTTTTCCTACACAATTTACTATTTAAAATGAAGTGCTGTCATAAGAACTTCTCCAGTTGTTTTGTACTCATAAAAATTATATCTCCAACTACTTTGTAGTCCTTATAGAGAAACTATATTAACTAATGACTCTGAAATTCCCTAATTTTTATAATAGGCGCTTTACAAAAACTTCTTTAATCAGAGGTTTAATCATGGTGGAGTGGAAAGAGAAGTCAGATAGATGGGTTCAGACTGTCCATGCTGGTTACTGTAAATTATTTATTTGTTTGTTGTTTATTTATTGGTACCAAGGATTGAACTCATAACCTTGAGCTTGCGAGGCAGGTGGCAGGATCACTGAGCTAAATCCCTGGCCCAGTAAATAATTTATTAAACAACTTATGATTCTTACTTCCTCATCGTTAAAGCGGGAACAATGAACACTATATCATAAAAGTATTATCGCCAATTAAAATATAGCAAATACTTCCAAATGTTAAATCACTGTATCATAAAAATGCTATTTTTGAGTATACTATTACCAACTATTAGCATCAAACGAGAGCAATTGCTCTAGCAAAATTTCAAAAGATATTTTTGAAAACAAAGTTCTTTCTTACATGCTTCAAAATACATCATACAGATAGTTGTAATTTTGTTCAAAACTTGCTCTGCTCTCCTTAGGTAGTTCTAATTTTGCTTAAAGTTTCCTCTAATATTTTTTCCTGTCCAAATACACCAGATGTGTGCCTGGCGGTGTATTATCCAAATCACTACCTGATCTCTTACCACCGCCTCCTCTTACCACAACAACACCCTGTATATATACAGCATTTTAGTTTACAGAAATCATTCACATCTGCTGTTCCATTTGCATTTTGCACACACACAAACAACAAACAAATAATACTAATACGCTTCCCCAAATGTTTAAAGTTTAAAGGTAAAGCAAAACTTCACTGAAATTCTTTTTGGAATCTTCTTTTTATAACACCATAATTATCTCCGATTTAATACTCAATACTTAAGACAATCATCTGAAAGCTTTTAGGGCTAATTTACAACGTTTTAAAAAATTGATAAAGTTTGGTGCCTACCTGTGATTTCTGTAGCACTTTTCTCATATATATTGCAAAGCATTTTCAGCCCTACCGTTTCATTTGACCTTTCTAAATACACACACACACACACACACACACACACACACACACACACACACGTCAGGCTATGAGTCAAAATCATGTGTTTTATATTTATCTTTGTACCTCTTGGATCTAACACAGTGCCTGACTCTTACAAAATCTTGAATAAGTGATTGTCAAACTAAAGATAAATGAATAGGATGAATAAAAACAGGGACGGAAGGGAGTGTCATGACTCAAAAGCAAAGAAAGATGAACATCCATGGAAAAATATAAATTATTTGTCTCTATGCTGAAACTTCACTAATTTACATTAATATTCAATTATTTTACATTGTGTTGGGCACTAAGTTACAGGTTTTGGAAAGAAGTGTGCATTAAATATTAGAATTAGAAGATGTTCCCTATTCTATTTTTAAAAATAGTATACATTTAAGAATCTAAACCTTTTAGTCAAATAGAGAATAAAAATAATTCTTGCATAGGATCAGACTTAACTTTCAAGTAAAACTCCCTCATTACTGATGCTTTAAAATGAGAAAGTTTCAGTGTCTCTATAAATGAATCTTTTTAAAAGGTTACATGGAAATGTTAAGCCTATTATAAAAAATTATCAGCAATTCTGCACTTAAAACATTAAAATAACTGAAGAATAATGCTTCTAATAATTTTTGATTGGTTTAAATTTCCACCAAGTTTGTAGACCATTTCTAAATATACAGCTATAGGAATTTCAAAATGAAAAAGATAAATAGTCATCTCTTTTATTGGAAACAAGCTGAATGAAAATAAATATAAAGGATAAGATTTAACCAGAAACCCAAAGTAACTCCATAGAAAACTAAAAAGGAGTGTACCTTGGAAAAATATACTCAATTATTCCAAATGAGCATATGATTTGTTTACTATAGACATTTAATGTCAATAATAAAAGAAATGTGGTCTTTTAAGTCAGGATGAAAGACACCTGACTGAACAAATCTCCCTACTTCTCAAATACTTTTGTAAGGGATAATGAAAAATAAGTGTAAATTTAAATGAACACCTAGATTTTGTGGTAATTCTAGATTTCCTGAAGACATACAGCAGATGAGTGAGATACTGTAAAAATCCACCCGTTTAAGATTATTTCAAACAGAGAAGAGCTTACATAACCCCAAAATAAAGATAAAATAAATTCTTTTGAGAAGAATTGGATCACACAGTCAAGAGAAAAAGTAGAGCGTGTTTAACAGTCAAAGTATCTAACTCCTGGTTGGTAATTATTATGGTTGTTGCTTTGAAAACCAAAAACATATCCTATCAAAGTAGAAATGCTGACATGAATTTAAAAGGACGAGGAACACCCCACTGAATACAGAGGACAAAGTTGAACAGTGAAGTTGAATAGTAAGAGGAAAAAATTAAAAGATATAGTAACTAGATACGATGTCTAATATTCATCTAACAGGAGTTCTACAAAAAGGAAACAGAAATGAAGAAAAGAAGAATAATCAAAGAAGAGAAAAATTCCCTTTTCCTAAGTTTCCATTAAGAATTTAATAGTACACAAAGAAGTAAAATCCACCCATTGCATGTAAGAAAGAAAAATATAAATGACACATAAAAGAGATATAATTTTACTGCTAATCAAAACATCAAAATCATAACATGACACCTTACTTTTGCCTAAAATTTTAAAAAATATTACAAGGTTGATAAAATATAATGCTGGCAAGATATTAGAAAACAGATATTCTTACATAACTTCAGTAGGATAATTAATTTAGCAGGAAAACTGTGGAGAGCATTAAAATGTTATTTGTGAACATGCTTTGACTGAGCGGTTCCATTTCTAGCATTCTGTCTTATGGAAATGCACACATGTACTAGAATATAAAATCATAGATTTGTGGTAGCATTTCTGAGTAGAAAAAAATGAAACAGTCTAACTACACAGAATAGAAAAAAATTAATGAATTTTTATATCTGTTCTATGAAATATGCTATAACCCAGCAGTCCTACGGAATAAAATATAGTAATTTCCTTAATATTACAGAAACCATTCATATTACAAAGTGCCATATAACTGTTATACAATACATGTAAATAT